GGGAGACACACGCACACTTACTCGATAAGATTCCTCCGATTCGTACGCATCGATATCAGTGTCGAGTTCCGGGTTTTTCACGGAAGATCGGGAATTGGCGTAGCGGGGGCTAGCGATCGATCGTTCGACGATCGGCAAGGACGATTCTTCGTCGCTCGACGAAGCTTCTTTCTCGACGACACCGAGGGCCGTCAATTTTCGCAATTGGAAAATCGTTGTACGTTTCTCGCGCCTTTTATCGAGGAATCTCCTATACCTCCCCGCGAAATTCGTCAACAATAATTTCTGCAAATTTGACAACTTTTTCCTCATCCTTTCGATCTCGATTCGTAACTTTTGCACGGTGCACTCGTACTTTTTCACCACGTCGTTCCGATGCTTCCTCAACGAATCCATCTCCCGTTCGTTCTCGCGCAGCTGCAATTTTATCTTGCAAAGCTCGTCCTCCTCCTCCTCCTCCTCCTCGCTCCCGCGATCGATCCTCGATCCCGAGTCCCGTGTCCCAAAATTCGTTCGAGAATTTTCGAGGATATTATTGTTTAACAACGCCTCCTCCAGATATTTCCTCGCCTCCTCGAAATACGCCAACTTGTCGCTCGCGCGGCGCACGTTCTCGCCCGACCGGCCGATCTCCTCCCCCAAACATTTCACCTTTTCGTCATTGGACTCGTTCGCCACCGCGATACCGTCCATCTCCATCTTCAGGGAGACGAGCTGATCGTCCCTGCTCCGAATTTCCGTCGACAACCACTTCAACTTCGCCTCGAGCATCGACTGAGTCTCCAACTGTTCCTCCAACCGCACCCGATAATCGTCCCTCTCCTCCTTGCACTTTTCCACCACGATCTCGAACTCGTCGATCCTCTCGCGCAATCGTTGCAACCTGCACGGCTGTTCGTCGCGAGCCCCCCCCCTCCCCGCATCGATCTCCTCGGCTTTCCGCCTCGCGAAATATTTCAACGTTCGCTCGTGCACCGAGTGGAGCACGGTCAATCGATCCTCCAGGTAGGCGCACTTCTTCAAACAATTCTCCAACTTGTTCAAACTTCGATTATCGTCCTCCTCCTTGACCAACAACTCGTCGGTCAACTCGTTGATACGCTCGTTGTACCTGCGCGTGTCTATCTCGACCATCCTCGCCAATTTCTCGTTCTCCTCCTCCAACTCGGCCATTTTCGCCTCGCACGACAACAATTTCTTCTTGCATTCCGACAATTCCGATTTATTGAAATCCGCGATTCGTTTCAACGCGTCTATCATCGATCTCGTGCCGCTCGCTCCACGAGACGATTCTTTCCCGTACGATGTTTCTCCTCCCTCCGCCACCACCTCCTTGTCGTCGTCTTCCTCCTCCTCCTCCTCCTCCTCCTCCTCTCGTTGTTTGACGTAACGCTCCAACTCGACGCCGCGATCCGACGAGCGTCCCGTCTTCTCTCGGTCGAGGGGGGGGGGCTCATCGGTTTGGGTGAAATTCTCCCTCGCCGTTTCGACGATGGAATTCGGATCGTTGACACCGGTCGATCTTCGACTCGCGCAACTGAAATCGATCCCGGAATCCTCCTTTATACCGCTGTCGCTCGATCTGAACGTGTGACGATCCGACAGATCCGACTCCATGGCGGATACCTTTTTGATCGGTGAAAATTTCCGATAATCGTGATCGTAATTGTCGTCGAGCAACGAGCAACGATCCGTTCCCCGTTTCCACCGACGTGCACCACTACTAGCTCCGCGTTGTTGTTGTTGTTGTTGTTGTTGTTGTTGTCGCTGTTGTTGTCGCTAGAGAACAGGTCATCGCTGCAAACATATTTCCGGGTGAAATTACTACGGACGGTGTTCCGTCCCCTGCCGACGGATTTCAAAGTAACGTAACCGCTCTCACATTCGCGTATCTCGACCAGTTCCTTCCTCAACAATTGCAATTGAAGTTGGAGGTCGTTGGCGAGATTCGTCTTCTCCTTCACCTCGTTCTCGAAATCTTTCGCCCTCAACAACACCTCTTGCAGCCTGCTCCTCGTCTCCCGCAACTCCTTCTCCGTGTCTATCGTCTTCGTCACCATCTTCACGTAATCCTCCGAGGCCCGGCTCAGATTGTTCTCCAACGACTCGATGTCCTCCGTCTTCTCGTCCAGTATACGCTTCAACTCGTACACCAGCCAACCGATGTCGCTCCCGTCCTCCCTCGACAACTTGAGAAACAGCTCGGGGAAGTGGGCGCGGATCAAATCGTGGAAACCTTTCAGCCTCTCCCTGGTCAACACCAGCTCGAAGTTGCACTTGTTCCTGTCCGTGGCCAACAGCTCGTTCTCCGCCCTCAGATCCCGCACCACCTCCCTGAGAGCCACCACCTTCGACGTGATCACCGCGTTCTCCGTCTCCAGGTCCCCCCGAATCGAGCCCTCCCCCCCCTCCTCCCTCTTCCGCTTCTTGCCGCACCCCTCGCTTGCCCCCCTGCTCTCCATCAAACTGTCGATACGCTCCCTGTAGAACGACTCGACCTGGCACACCGACCACTTCAACAGGCTCTTCCCCTCGTCCTCGATGTCCTGCACCCGCCTCCTCCAACACGACTCCAACTCCTCGATCGCGGCCGAGTAACGGTCGACCAGCTCCCGCCTTATCTCGTATTCCCAATTCAAATTCCCCTCCTCCAACACCTCCACGCGTTCCCTCAACTCCCTGTTCCTCTCCCTCAACCTGTCGTAATCGTGGAACGACACGTCCGACTGCGTCTGCTTCGACGACCTCTCCCCCCTCCCCCTCTTCAGATCCTCGTACTCGCCGAGATCGATCGTGATCGTCTTCCTCGGGGAGGGGGGGGGGATCAACGTGGACGATTTCGCGTTCCTCGGCGTCGCGGCCATCGCCGTCGTGGTCGTCGCGGTGGTCGTCGCGGTGGTCGTCGCGGTCGCGGTGTTCGTCGTCCTCCTCGACGCCCTCGACTCGCCCAACCTCTTCGCCATCGCGGAGAAATTCAACACGCTCAACGTCTCGGCGAACGCGTCCGCGCCGATATCCACCGTAACCACGAAACTGAACTTCTCCCTACCGGTCAACACCTTTTGAAGCATCCTGGTCAACTTGGACTCGCGGAACGGGCCGGCGGCCACGTGATCCCCGGACGAGTAACTGTCCCGCAACGTTTTCAAACACCTTCCCAACACGAGCAGGCTGTTGTTTATGTTACGAGACTCGGCCAGCCTGGTGTCGTCCCTGCTCTTCACCCGCCTCGACCCGGCTACGTCGCAGAACGTCAACGTGCTCACGCGGACCGTTTCCGGCCTGTTCTCCTTCTCGTACTTCAACAATTTCAACGCGAAGATGGTGTGGGAGTTGGACGCGGCGGAGGGAGCGACCGTCATCCTCGATCGGACGAGGATCAGCAATTGGCACGCCTCGAGGGCGGTCGTTACGTGGACGAATTTCAAACCGTTGACGAAGGTGGACCCGTCCCTACGGGTGGTCAACTTGAGCGGCCTCCTCTCCTGCTGCTCGTGGCCGCTCGCCACCAAAAGATCGTACACGTTGTCGTTGTGTATCTCGGCGACCGAGATCCACACGGACGAGACGCACTCGTCGCTCCACAGATCCCGCTCCTCGTTCCGGCGTGGATTCGAGTTGTCGAGGGACAACCGTGCCTGCGCGTACTCCTCCTTGGCGATCACGCTCGGGTTGATCAGCCTCGTCTTGTTGAATATCTCGCAGGTACGCTCGGGCTCGTCGAGGGCGATCACCGTGTTGTCGTCCACCACCTTGTACCAGGGGGCCAGGGTGCAGTTGATGGCCGAGAAGAGGAGCTGGATGGAGCGGGGTATGGCGCCCGGCTCGCCCGGGGTCCCGTACAACGTGTACGTTTTCCCCGTGTTCGACGCCCCGTACGTGATCACGGTGGAACTCTCGCCGAGGAGCAGGTGGATCACCTGCCTTCGCACGCTCTCGTAGAAGAAATCCGCCTGCGACGTGTCCCCGTCGAATATCCTGGTGAACATGTACCTCTTGTCCACGTTCCTTCTCACGTGAAGGGTGGTCGAGTCGGGCAACGCGTAAATCTCTTCGCTCGCCTCGAGGCTAGGTTTTATCCTCAGGTAGACGTTGCTGCTCGCCGGTGGATGGATGATGGACAACGCGCAACGGCTCGTTATCGAGCTCTCGTTCGCGTCCCGTATCGGTTTCGAGAAATGGGAGGAGGAAAGCATATTCTCTGTCCGCGGGAGCAATTGATTCTCTCTCTCTCTCTCTCTCTCGAGCAGTACTTTGACCAGATTGTGAACTTAAATTTCCCGAGTGCAAATTTAAACGATCGTTTTATTTATATATATATATATATCTATATAAGAAGACGTTTCTTCGATTGTTCAACAAAGGTTCGAGCTCACTTTTGGATTTTCAATTTTTAATTCACGATCGCGTTCGGACGCTTTGCAAGATTGTCGAGTCGATAGGATTCGTGCTCCGATCCATGTTGAAAATTTTTTTCGCTTGAGGTTAGTAGCGAGCAATCGCTATTATCGAAATACGTGCGAAGCTAACTGTGATAATTTAACACTAGTGGGACCGTGTTTTGTCTCCCCCGCTATTTCTCATTACGACCACGTATCGACCACGTATCGACCACGTATCGGTCGATGGACGAGAATCGTTCCGTTTCGAGCGGACAGACAGAGAGAGAGAGAGAGAGAGAGAGAGCTCGAAATATCTTCAAAGTCGGCCGCGAAGAGGGGAATTTATACGCGTGTCGTTCGCCTCGTTAAACGCGGCCGATCGAGAAAGGGAGCTCTAATAGGCCGAGTCGGTCGATCCACCGAAATCCGGCGTAATCTCGGCATCGGAATCGCGTATCGGGGGCACAAGTCGGCCACTGTCCTCCAGGAGACAGAGCTTCGAACAGAGCTTATCGTGGCACGAGTCGGTCTCTTTCAACCCACAATCGACCCCTTGTATCGAGACCTCCTCCGCTTCTCGTTTTCGTTTTCGTGTATATATCGCCTCATCGCGCGCGCTCCCTCCCTCCCTCCCTCTCCCTCCCCTCCTCCTCCTTCATTGGTGGTCTTTCTTCTCGAAGAAGGCTTCTCGTGAGAGTCGAAGAATTCCAAGTTCTGGATCTAAATAATAAAGAGAAAGAAATTTTATCCTACATGACGACTTTTAATATTAAAACGCGTCATCTACGAGGTGGTTCGTCGAGGTGGAAAGTTTCGTGCGGCGAAGTCGGTGTACGAAAAATAACGGCCTCCTTATACGTCGGGGGCGTTAATGGTTGTTCCATCGGGCGGATCGATAACCTTTATGGGTTATTTATTTAATACTGACAAATTATTTCGCCTGCCACTCTCGCCATCGAGACTCGTTCGCCGCTTCTTTTATAACGTCTTTAACGGTGAACGAAACGAGGCATCCCTCCCTTCCAATATATAACGTTACACTCCTATTTCTCCGTCTCTTGAAACGAGCGAGCGAGCGAGCGAACGAATCAATCGCTTCGAATCGCTATTATTCCCCGCTATTATTTCTAAGAACGAAATAAAATATTGTAAAAAAAAAAAAAAAAAAAAAACGGCCGATCGATATCTTATCCATTGACGCGAAACTCGTTAATCCGAAAGTTTGCCAGGCGTTAGAGAAGAGGAAGACGGGTCGGGACGGTTCTCAAGGAGCTTGGTCGTTCCGCTTCCGTGATATTAGATTTATCCATTTGTTTGCCGAAAGTCTCATAAATATAAGCTCCCTTTGACAGCGTCCCACGGGTCTTATCCGGCGCCATGATCTTGCGTGGGTGGCCGAGAGAAGATGAAACCGAGGAGGTACCGAGGATAGACGAAAAGACGGAGGGTTGAAAGACATCGGGGCGGCATCGATCCGGCGATGCCACCACGATCTCTCTCTCTCTCTCTCTCTCTCTCCCGCGTTCGCTGCCATCAGTATTCCCAATTAACAGGCTCCTTTCATCGGGGTCGAGGCGCAGGGGCTGGCTGGCTGGCTGGCTTGCTTCCACATCCGGCCTCTCTCATTTATAAATATGATGATCGTAAAAGCGAGGCATTACCATTTCCACGGAGAAGTCTTTTCGTGGGTGGAGAATTCCCCGCGCCGCCTTATTCCCAAAGTGGCGAAATTGATGGCGACTGGGGTGGAAATTTCACGCGAGTAATTAACGCGCGAGCGTTATCGAGACATCTTCTTCTTCTTCTTCTTCTTCTTATTCTTTCGTATTGCCGCGGGGCTGATAAATCATCGAGAGAGGATAGGTAATCGGGTGTTCATTAGCCTAGTGCAGGGAAGCGCGATTCTCTCTCCTGGCCAGGAGAGAGAGATCTTTTCAATAACTGTTGGCCGGGCTTGGTAATTGGTGACCGGCGATATCTCACCTCTCCCTTCCCCCTCGCAATGTCGTATATAACAATATACCAGATTGTCTCGCCCTGACCACTATAGATAGAGAAACATTAAGTGTCCCTTACACAGAGCCACCGCGAGAGGGCAACGGAATAGGAGAGAGGCTCGTATCGTCGTGGACGAGCACAGAGGGGGAGGAAGAGGGCGAGGAGGGATGGCCGAGGAACGGGTCAGAGACGACGGTTCGCCGCATTGGCTATACCGATGTTCGCTCGTCGTCTTTCTCTCGGCCCAGTAGCTCTCACACTTTCGATCCATGGTAAACGCGTTTCGAAACGCGTTTAACGCGCATAACGTACAACGGGAGAATGTAATAAGAGGATAGGCTAGGACGATGATCGATCGATAAATAACGTTTTTCCTTTTTCGGGATATTGCGGGAGAACAGGGAATAGGATAGGACGCGTGGAAATTTGAGAGCCACTGGTGGTGAAAAACACAGTGGATCGGGGGATACGGCAATGGACACACACAGGGGTTCGGTTGGACGCACATTGGGTCATAAACGTTTATATTGCGCTCAGTGCGCCAGTAATGCCGATATTGGCAAGTTATTGGCCCCTTCCGTATAGAGCGCACGATACCAGCCTCGGGCCAAAATCGTATCTTCGGTAATCCGGAAAAATATCGTCGGCCCGAAACAGCGAGAAAAGTTTAATTGGAAACATTCGGGGAAAGTGTGTGCAAGAGATAGAGAGGGAGGAACGTCTCTGTTCGATCGATCGACAATTTCGAATATCGAAAACTCCAACGTAAGGAACAAACATTTGTTTGAATTTATTTCGACCACGATTTCTTCTCCGATTTTTTTAGAGGAAAAAAAAAAGGCTCTCTCTCTCTCTCTCTCTCTCTCTCCCTCCGTGGAGGAAAGAGAAGAGGGCGAAACGAAGCTCCTCTTTCCCGACGATACTTTCTAGACCCAATCAACTGATATCGCGAGCTTAAGCCTCCAAGAGCCGCAACTCGTGATACTGGCGGGTGGTATGGGCGATGGTCTGATCACGAGTTAGTGGTTCGAGATGGCGAGGAAAGACCGTGGAAGTAAGAGAAGGCCAAGCCGACTTTATGTCGGAGGGGGGGGGGGCGTAAGCCGGTTATAGGCGCTGCCGATGTTATTTGATGGCCAAATGCACTCCAACAGCGTGAAGCAACCCAAAAACTTCCCCCATCCCGATCTCTATCGTCCGGCCACCACCTATTTTCCGACCCGCTCGCTTCGTCGCTCATCAACGCCAAGAAAAACGCCTCGAATTTTTAACTTCGACTTTTTTCTCCACTCTGTTTCAGATATTTTTTTTTTTTTCGTGTATAATTTTAAATTCTTGAATCGCCTTTCTCCCTTCTAAATCTTTCGGATATCGATTCGAAATCGATTTTATCATGCCGAAAATCGTTGGAAGATATCAAAGAGCCATCGATAGACGCAATCGCGGCGCAACAGCGGGACAAAGGAGAACGCGGCGGACAAAGGAAGGGAGAGGAGGTGGTGAAAAGAGATCCACCACCTGCCTCTCCACCAGCCTCGTGCTCGGCCGAGCATAAAACGCGCCGCGCATTTTCCAACCCCCCGCGTATTAATACCTAACCGCGGCCGCAAAACTTAATGAATTCTTTAGCGGAGATCAAAAAGAACTCCGATACGGCAAGCGGCGTTTCCTTTCCTCCCTCCCTCTCTCTCTCTCTCTCTCTCTCTCTCTCCTCCT